TAAGGATTTCAAAGAAATAATCTTATAGGATTTCAAACAATATTTATCGGGTGCTTGCAGGCATGGAGCAGCGTGAAAGTTAGGTAGTCCTTTCATTAATCATTGCAGTGGGTAGTGAAAGTATGCCGCTTTGCAAGAGTGACCTCAGCGCTCACCTCGGCATTCAGAATGTGGCATTCTGGATACGTTGAAAGTTAGATATTATAAAACTGCATTTGATTTCAGGTATGGATAACAGGCTTGCCGAAGCTTGAACGTCAAGAGCACTACGACCAAGGTCCATACGCCGTCATTCTTGCACCGACGAGAGAATTGGCGCAGCAGGTGGACCTTCGTTTTTTTCAGATCCAAATAAAATGCTGATTCCCATTCGTTATGCTTGTATTGTTATCCAACTCATAAGTACATCAACATGTTCAATTATTCAGATCGAAGAGGAAACCAATAAGTTCGGAGAATTGCTGAAGATCCGAACTGTCTCAGTTATAGGAGGAGCCTCGCGTGAAGATCAAGGAATGAAACTCCGAATGGGAGTCGAAGTAAGTTAGATGGTGTTTTCATGAGCCCAAATGGATCTCCATCGTATGCTTCTGGAAGTAAATTTTTTCTCAGCAATTGCTGCTGTTTTTCAGGTTGTCATTGCCACTCCCGGGCGTCTTTTAGACGTACTGGAAAATAGATACCTTCTTCTTAACCAATGCTCCTATGTTATTCTCGATGAGGCTGATCGTATGCTGGACATGGGATTTGAGCCGGAAGTTCAAAAGGTTCCAAATTCATGGATTGTTTTTGATTAATGTTGCCATGTGTTTATATTAGGATTTCCCAAAAGTTCGTGCTTGTTCTAACTTTTTTTTTGAACCCCTACTTTTTTGAAGCACTATCTTTCATCAGTATGTGACCATTACCCATCAATAACCTGTCGTCAACGAGAAGCCAAACGGTGGATGGCTTACGCCCAAGATGTTGGTGGTTCTACCGAAAAAAAGAATCAAGCTCAATCTCGAGGCGCCTATAGGAATTGAATTTTTTATTCCGCAAAGTGACTACTAAGAAGGAAGAGTAGATTGCATTTCTAAGGGCTAGTCTGCGCTGTACGTTAATATTGTAGGAGTTCTCAACTTAGCTTCGAAGATCCAGAGTTCCATCATCTTCGAATGGTCGGTCTCGGCTGTCGGGAAGCGGGCATACTTTTTTTGAGTTCTAGAGGTAGTTGTTGGTGTTTCACCGTAAGAGCACCGTCGATCATAGTAGACGTGACTAGTTACGGTGCCGTAGCTAGAAGGAAAGTTCCCTCTGGGTAACTCGCTAATTACATGACTTTAAACTCGGTAATTTCTCCATATGGGTAACATAACTCATCAGGAACTTGCTGATTCCCTGCCTCTTCTGTTCGATCCAGCCACTTGTTCTTTCGCATGTGGTTGGCATAGAAGTTTTGCTTTCTCATCCGCAGTCGTTGTTCCGTTAGTTCGTACGGGGAATTTAGAGAGAATATGTAGACTGCACTCGTTCCGCACTCTTATCATCAGTGATCAAATCATGAAGAAATCTTTGGCAGAGCTTCAACCCTTCTACGTGAGAGCGAAACCTCTGTGAACTGTGCATCTGAAATATTAGGGCGTGATGACCACATAGCAGGTTATTCCGTGAGGACTGGCTTTGATGAGAGAGCGCAGCCTGGCAAATTCCCTCGCTGCGGTCTTTTCTGAACAATAGTTTTTCTCCTGTCGCAGCTCATGAGCGAAGGAGATTCTCCATTCCGATACCGCGTGACGGATGAAGGAGATGAAGAGAGGAGACGAGGAGATGTATCGCAAGCAAATGTTTTTTGGCTCCGATCGGTTTATGGCCCAGTAGAAATTTTCAAATAAAAGCGTGAAAGCATGGTTCTCTTCTTTTCTCAATTTTGAGCTCGAAGAAGACAGCTAAGGTGCACCTGATTCACTTATAAGTTACTACACGTAGTGCCCGTAAACGTAATTAATAATTCGCTAAAGGTGTTCTGGCGCGGGATCCAAAAACTTTACACTCAGCACATAGGAGGTTATACCGTGAGGACTCTTCGCACGGACATTTGGGGAAACTTAATATTCATATTTGTTTGTCGCTTGGAATTCCTGCTCGAAAATACAGTTAGCACCGATTGTTCACGTTTAGGTCCTCAGTTATTTGCCAGTTTCCAATCAGAAACCTGACACTGATGATATTGAACACGAGGAAGCGTTAATGAACAATTTTGCTACAAGGGACAAATACCGTCAGGTTCGATCTCAGTTTTTTTTTTTTCGAGTTTCCTTTTTCATGGTTCCGCTTTACTAGAAGGTAAACTTAAAATTACTCATTACTACTGCTGAAATGAAAGATGCATTCAAACTGAGAAAGTGGCTCGTGAGGATTTTCTGTTCAAACCTAGGGGCGACCCGATGTACAAGTGAACTGATTCTTTGTCTCTAAACAAGTTCCTATCACCAATTACCGACCTGAAGGAGTGAAATGTTTGATTTACCCGAGCGGCGCACTACCCCGGAATTTGATCCTAGACCGCGCCCTTTGTAAGCAGCACCTCTTATCACAGCACCACTTCTCTAGGTTGCCGATAACGTCACGATTATAGTATTTCAGCTGCAACATGATCAATTCATCGATTCATTCCTACCCCTCTTGAAAATTCTGAAAATATTCACCTGGTAATCTGGAAACAGTATGTTCGGTGATTACGCCTGGTGTAGACGAGTTCCTATTTCAACTGTAAACCTGTTTTCTGAAAGTTTTTGCAAAATGTTGCCGAGCGTTGGTCGACATTTCGAGGAAAACTTTGTCCAGTGGCTATCTTCCTGCCTTGTGGTATTCTTTTTGCATATAAACGTCAGTTATGTCGAATTGGTCCGTAAGCTTCTCTTCAGAGTTGTATTAATATTTTTTTTGTTGGCCGCGGCGTTCCTTTTTGTCGTTGGCATCAGAATCGCCACATTCAAATTGTTGAAATTGATACGATAGATGGGATGTGATATTGCTTTATCACTATGAGCTGAGATTTCACTGGGGTTGGATGAGCGCGAGCGGTCGATTCGTTTGAATCAGAAGCAGATAAGGTGGAAATCGAAAAACGCATCTTTAAACATTTCATTCGATGGTTTAGAAAACGAATAAAGCACTAATGCCGTGGAAATTTTCGTACTATAATAGAGTAACTTCAATACTATCATGACACTTTTCTAACAAATTCATAGATACAAACGTTTATTACATGAACACTTGCTTTTCTAGTGAACTGTTAAATCTATAGCCATCTCTCTTCAGACGGTGATGTTCACGGCGACTATGTCCCCAGCCATTGAACGTTTGGCAAGAGCCTATTTACGGCGTCCTGCAGTAGTGCACATCGGATCCGCAGGACGTCCCACAGAACGAGTGGAACAGGTATACTACATTAGCATGACCTATAAAAGCCTTCAACTTAGCCCCAAATTTTTTAAATTTTGATGTAATAGAGAGTGTTGCTTATAGAAGCTGTCGTAGTAAAAGGAATGTGAGAAGTAAGGAGGAAAAGTGTAAGTGATAAAAAGTGGTGTTCAGATTGTCTACATGTTGTCAGAAGACAAAAAGAGAAAGAAATTGGTCGAGGTGTTGGAGCAACACTTTGAACCGCCTATCATCATCTTCGTTAATCAGAAGAAGGTACTGAAGACTTGTTCTTTATTATCATACTTTGCCGTTATTGCTCACCGTCCCAAATTGCTATTGAGAATTCTGTTATCTGCATGACTTTAGGGTGCTGACCTTCTAGCGAAGGGTCTCAGCAAATTGAATTTCAATCCTGTCGTCCTTCATGGTGGCAAAGGCCAGGAAACGAGAGAGTATGCGCTGCAGGCTCTCAAGGATAAAACAAAAGATATCCTTGTTGCAACTGACGTCGCAGGAAGAGGTAATTGATCCAAACAGTTAACGTGCTAGCAAAA